ATGAGCAGGGCGTACAATGCATTTAATTTTAGATTAATTTTTAATGAGGCAAAATTAATGTGTGTCATTTCATACTCTCCAAGGTCATGTTGAAATCCATTCCAATCCAACTTTAAGTTGTGGATGACTGCAATGGTTGAGGTCCAGTAAAAATTGCATGACAGTCATATTAAGTGTATATTAGGTTTTTTTGAATGTCATATTAAATTGACGTTTGGGGATGTGATATTTATCTTAGCACATTGAGTTTACGCCTGCCGTATGACATGTGCTATATAAATAAAATTGACTTGACTTGACTTGACTTAAGTTGTAGATAAAGTACACGGACTGTTCCAGTTACTTGCCTTCTGATAAATTATAATTTTCCTTCTCACTTGCTGTGCTCTGCTGTTTAAAATCTGAGTTTATAGCTATATGTATCAGAAGAATCACTTTTTACAGATGAATAATAAGTACAATCCATAACTTGTCTGTATGAAAAATGTACAAAAATAAACTCCTCAAATGGACAAATCAGCCCTGAGTATGTGGAATTCACTTGATGCTATTAATAATAGTATATGCTATACTGTACTGTACCTTATATTTTTGTACTACCACTACATCTCTCTTTATACTATATTACATATTACCAATGATTGTTCTCATCAAAGATAAAACCAAACCTACGGCATTTTATTGTCATGGTCCGCTCTGAAGGGACTCTTTGAAGGCATTATGTTTGGACTTTTGTTGATTTAATATTTTATTTTAAGTAGCTTTCCTTGTGTGTCAACTCCCAGATAGCAAAATAAATCTGTCCCATACTTGGGCCACATGTTTGTTTTCTGCTGGCCCAGTTTACACCTGGTTCCTGAATCTGGTCCATATACTGCATGATTGTCAGATGCTACTTCCACATCTGGACCAATTATGGCACGCAGACAGAAAATCAGTCAGTCAATACTGGAGAATAAAAGCCGGACTCTGCCGAAATGTGGATTTATATGGACCAGACACAAGCCTAGGACCAAGGCAAGGCCAGAATTTTCATTGTAATATTCTTTGATAGTCTTTGTCTTGTTTTCCTGCCATAGTGATTGTCTGCCCTGCCCTAATGTGTTACACCTGTGTCTGGCTACCTGCTCCCCTTGCGAATTTTGGATTCCCAGCCACTTTACTGGATTAGTTTAATTCTTTAAGTAAGACTTTTTGTCATTTCCTTTGTTTAATAAAGCATTTAATTTAACCAGTAAAGTTTTTTGTTTTTGTCTGCACTTCTTTTAATAAAGAGCTTAAAGAACTCTCATACACCCTGCTTCTCTATTGTGAGTGGTTAAGGGATATTTATGGGGAGTAAAGAGAGGCAGCTCTGAGGATATCACACAGGGAAATGTTCAAGAGACCCTGGTTGGAGAGCTCATTGCCTGAATGACTTTTGGACTTTGTAAACGCCCCAAATCTCCCAGATTTCTTTTAATGGTGATGAACTTTAGGCCAAAGGCAATGATTTACAGTAGATGTCAAAGGTTTAAGATCTCAAATGGTTTCTATCTGCTTCAGAGGCTGAAGGTTTTAGTGAATATCAAGTTTTCAGAAATCCCCCAGGTTTTAAGAGTAGGAGTAAGAGCAGTGCCACCAGTAGAGGGTGTCAGCTTGCTGTGTTCAATAGTGTGCCTTAAGCTAGAAGGCTAGCCCTGTGTTTTACTGTTTGCAGTGGATAAGTTGAACTGTTGAAGTGGATAATAGTGGGAGCCCTTTTGGTGTCTCGGCAGAGTGGAAATCCCTGGTCGTAATCTTGCCCCCCCTATTTTTATGAACTGTGAATTTGTCCATGGAAATAAAGATTGTCATGTTATTTTTCTAAAGGCACATTCTGTGGTTATTTGACAGCTCTGACTTGGTGGCAGTGAATTTGTGCCACACCTTTTTGTAACCCCACATTGATTAGACTGGTGACAGTGGTGGGATAAAATCAAAATGTCAGAGCCTTAAAATAATCCACTTCAATCTAGAGGGGGCGCTCACAGAGGGCCAAATGTCCGCCCCGTCTTCTCCATTCACTATGGCCCCTGGTGGCTTAAAGGGCGGTTCTGGCTATCTCAAAGCTAGAATAGGTGGGTTTGATTTTTATGTTCTTGTAGACACAGGAGCCTTGTGCTCTGTCATCCCCAAACAGCTGCGGCTTTCTGCTACAAAAGGGGGGTGTGATTTGGAAGACTATGCAGGCAGGGCTACAGCAGCTAATGGTGGGGATGCATGTTGTGGGGTGCAGGCAGACAGTATGTCAATTTGATTGTCTTGCTCTCGTCGCCAAGTTTTTAGTCTCTGATATACCTTCTGAGGAGATTCTGCTTGGGTTTGATTTTCTATCTTAGTTTGGCACTGTAGTTGACCTGGGGAAGAAGACCTGCCAGATAATGGGAAGACTTTTCCCCTGGTTGATCTGAACTCATCCTTTGAGCCCCAGGTGTTCTCTGTCCAGTCCAATACCGTAGTACCCCTGCGCAATGAAACCATAATTTGGGGCCAGGTTCAGACCGGGTGGGGGGATTATTCAGAAGGCATGTTGGAACCCTCCACCTCCTTCTCTAAACACTGTGACATATTGGTAGCTCAGGTGGTTTGTAGAGTTGAGCAGGGCTTACTGTCATGCGAGTTATCAATTTGAAAAATGATGCACTTATGTTAAAGAGTGGGATGGAAGTGGGTATGCTGTTCATTGACATTGAGGTGGGGGAGGAAGTGGAGCTGTGTGGCAACAGTGAGGGAGGAGCCATCTTGCAGCCTTGGAAAGTTGAGACACTTATGAGCCAGTTTGGGGTGGAAGAAAAGGGCTTCTCTCCTGGGGAACTATCAGAAAATCTCTGTGTTTAGTCGGGGGAGACTGATAGTGACTGTAGTCCCTGGGCAGCACCTGTAGTACTTGTGAAAAAGAAGTTGGGCGGGTTTCGGTTCTGTGTTAACTATAGAAAACTCACAATGGAAGATTGATGATGCCCTCAATAGCCTTAGGCATGCTTGTTGGTTTTCCACTCTTGATTTGGCGAGCGGCTATTGGTGGAAGTGGATCCACAAGTTCATCATGCGCCAGAGGCTGTCCGAGTTTAATGATCTGAGTTTTGGGCTTTGCAACGCATGCAGCACGTTTCGGAGTTTAGTGGACTTAATTCTTGCAGATTTGCATTGGACCGCTTGCTTGGTTTACTGAGATGACATCATTGACTTCAGGAACACCTGACGCACCTGGATGGTGTACTTGGAAAGCTCCAGCAGGCCAATCTTTAAGTTTAGCCATCCAGGTGTAATCTGTTTTCCACCCAAGTCCATTACTTTGGGCATGTTATCTCTGCTGAGGGGGTTGATGCCAGATCCGGCCAAGGTGGAAGCAGTTAGATAGTGGCCTGTCCCTAAAAATCAGATGGAGGTTCAGAGCTTTGTATGGCTAGCCTCATACTACAAGCAGTTTGTGAGAGGTTTTGCTGACGTTGCTCACCCTTTGCACCAGCTCATTGAGAAAGGGAGGCATTTTAGATGGAGTGATGATTATCAGAGTGCTTTTCATCGGCTCAAGGCTATTCTAATCATGGCTACTGTGTTGGCATATCCTGTACCCTCTAAACCATTCATCTTGGACACAGATGCGAGTGATGTGAGGATTGGGGCAGTGTTGTCTCTGGTCTCTTTTCTCAAGGCGCATTCTCTGGTTATTTGACAGCTCTGACTTGGTGGCAATTAATTCCTGCCACACCTTTTTGTAACCCCACATATATGATGTATGATGAGTTGGGAAAAAAATGTTGTCCTTGAGATTTTATAAGAAATTAGTATTTGCATTTTCCTAAATCAAGTCAATTACTTTAGACAAGATGATCTTTTACAAATAACACAGCAGCTTAAACATCTTATGACAAAAAAGCTTTTGTCATTTGAGATACAACTCTAAACAAGATGTTTAACAAGACATTCAAGATGCATTGTCTAAAAACAAGTCCCTTTATCTAACTGAAATGTTATATGTGACTGTATATTAGGTATAATTTGATATTTTGACAAGAAATTAGAGACATATACTGATTTAGGTTTTAGGTTTTTAGAATGTGAGCGGAGAGATCATGCTTCTCAGGATTACACAAGTATGCTGCATTTATGTGCTCCTTGGATGGTCCCATTTCCAAAGTTGGGAAGTCGTTCTTCTGACTTATGTGTATTCATGTGCATTTAAGTCACATGAATACACAGAGAGCAGATACGCAGATAAATAACATAGAAACTACAAAGTTGTGCTCTACTTTATTGCTCAGAATTAAAACAACATTTGGATAGCTGTTTCCATTATTTGTTAACTTATTATCATGGTTACTGCTAATAAATAACTGTTACATAAATAAATAACAGTTAATACCATATTCCAAATTAAATGTTAGCAAGAAAGGATAATGTAATGCATGAATTTGGAACATTAATTGATGATAATCTACGTATATGACAACAACCCAACATGTGTACCAAAATTTGTGCAGACTTTCGGAATTGTTGTAACTTGAGGAGGCATTTGTAAATTTTACTTTTTCCAATTATTCTTACACCACATTAATGAAGGGATAACATACAAATTTAATTGTTTCCCTAAGTGTGGGTGGATGAGTAAGCAAAACATAAAATTGGCCAAGATGAGGTCTTCTAAATTAAATGATCAAATTATTTTCATTGAAACCATAGTTCCCTAAACCTGGCAAGGTTGGTTTTGTGTCTAAACATGAATTTCCCCTAGGGGATAAATAAAGTATCTATCTATCTATCTATCTATCTATCTATCTATCTATCTATCTATCTATCTATCTATCTATCTATCTAAACATAACCAAACAATTGCAATAGCATTGTCACATCATGACAGGGGGATTTATTTTCAAAAGTGATGTTTAACACTTTATCAAGGCATATCCCCCTTCACCAGTGGGCTCCAATAGCTCATATCAGAGAGTAGAGATAAACACACCTATTGTTAGCTAATTTTATGACTTTGTGTTTCCTCGACCCATGATAGCTTTCTTTGTGTTTCTCTCTGGTCTCAGGAGGATTATGTAACATTTGGGTCCAAACAGCGCCACCAAGAGGCCAAAACTGGAAGCCAGGATGGCAAATACCTCCACTGCATCTGCATATTTGCCTGGTGAGCTGATATAAGCAGGGACAAAGGCCACCCACACAGCACAGAAGATCAGCATGCTGAAAGTGATGAGTTTGGCCTCATTGAAGTTGTCTGGAAGATTTCTTGCCAGAAAAGCTAACAGGAAGCTGAGGACAGCAAGTAATCCTATATAGCCCAGTAACACTGCAAAACCAATTGTTGACCCAACTACACACTCATAAACTATCTTGTCATTGTGGTATTGGGTGTTTTTATGAGGTGCTGGTGAGGAAGAGACAAGCCAGGCAGTACAGATTGTGGCTTGAATAGAAGTAAGAACCAGAACTGTCCCTCTCTGCTGCAAAGCACCAAACCACTTCAGACTGGCTTCACCTCCTGGCTTGGAGGCCTTGAACACAGCCAGAACCACCATGGTTTTAACCAGGATGCATGAGACACAAAGCACAAAGCTGATGCCAAATGCTGCATGTCTCAGCTGGCATGTCCAATGTCTGGGGTGGCCAATAAACAGCAGTGAACACAGGAAACATAGTTTAAGTGACAACAACAACTGGAAACTGAGTTCAGAATTGTTGGCACGTACTATAGGTGTTCTGCGATGATAGATAAAGATCCCAAGGACAACAGCACAGATAAATGTGCCCAGCAATGAGGTGACTGTCAAGCAGATTCCCAGAGGCTCATGGTAGGAGAGGAAGTCTATTTTCTTAGGAAGACAATGGTCACGCTGGGGGCTGGACCAGAAATCCTCTGGACAACTTGTGCACTCCATGGAGTCTATGAAAATAGAAAACGAGTTGAGATACACAATGCTTTCTTTTGAAACTGCAATGCTGAAAATTGAACACTCACCAGTCTTATTGCTGATCTTTCCCTCAGAACAAGGGATGCAGTCAAAACAACATTCAGGTTCGCCCCTCTTTCTGGCCATGCGGGTACCAGGAGGACAGCTCTCACTGCACACTGACCGGGGGGGCTGTAGGGAGAAAAATAAATATATGTTATTCTACATTACTAAACACTGCTCGAATGAGTTATCCATGAGCCAAAAAATTGTAGTCTGAAAAATCTGAAATAACCTCTTTGGATTCAAAGTTCCAGAAGATTTTATCTTCATCAAGTGTGAGTTCTTCACCTTTTAAAGCAGATTTCTTAACTTCACCCACATTCTGAACTTTAATTCTTCCATCCGGGAGCCACTGCCAGTTCATGATATCATAGATTGGTAAGACATCACCATTTTCATCAACTGACACTTGATCACCAAATGGTGTGGTGAAGTTGACCTTTTCCAAGTAATAGACAAGCTGTGGAAATCAGAATAAGAGATAGAGGAAAAACCAAACAGGATAAATGAAAAAAAAGAAGAATTCTCTTGTTATTGACCATGGTTAACACAGCATGGGCTAATATTCAAAAATCAAACTGCTTACTACACTTAGGAACAGATGAAGTTTTAAAAAATTCTTGCAAATCATTTTGCTTAAAGTAATGTCACATTACCCATAATACCATGTACCTAGTGACGAGATTATTCTCGCTAACCTGAATACTAGCCACTGCTATGACCGAGTAGTAGGTAAAATCATTTCAGTTATCGATCTAGCATTTTACAACTAATAATGTCTTATGTTTTACTGTGCAAAAAATATTATAAGCACAGGATTGGACATAAACAAGTGGAGTGTAAATTGATATCTCACCTGCCAGGGCTCCAGTCTTTGTAAATTACCACAGCTGTTCCTGTTGAAAGGCCCTCTCCCTGGTTCGCAGTGTAGCATTTCATCAAGAGCATATGCCAGAGCATACACAGCCTTATACACATTGTACTCTGGTCTTAGATTTAAAATGTCCAAAAACTCAGTCTCCACATTCTCTAGATCTTCATGTCCAGTGCATAATGCTCCTCCAGCTTCCACCCAACCTTCTGGAGGTGGAGCAAATCTACACTGAAATGTGTATTCCCAAAACTGATTTACCTAATATATTCAAAAATTTGTATCATAAACAATGACAATATATTATTCTTCCAAATACCAAATCAGATTGCGAGGTTAAACTCTCACCATTGTATTTCCATTGTTGTTGTGGTGTAGGTCAGGACGTATTTGTAGCATGAATTCCCTGAGTCCTGGTATTTCTCCTCGACGGATGGCAATGCCCAGTGTTCCACCCAGGTACGGCATGAGGTGGGGGGTCTGGAGCATAGCAGATGATGACCAGGCTTCACTGGCCATCCACTGCAGGCCTGTCACATTCTGCCTCACCACCTGTAAAATGCATCATACGAAGTTATATTAATTCATATTGCCATACCACTAAAGTGGTTTCCACAGCGTCACTCACAGGTGCCATCCTCTATTTTACACAGTAGTATGAGCAAAGTGATATCATCATAACTAGAACAAACCTGCTAGCGGTGTGTATAACAAAACAGAGGTGTAACATATTCATTATTATTATTTGGTTTGTTTAGGTCAAATATTGTTTTATATCACTGAATTGAATCTTGTTTTATAACTATGTTCGGCAATAATCAATTTGTCAAGTTATATTTCAAGCCCAACCTCTTCCATCAGGTTAATAATGTGACCTTCATGTGCAAACACAATGACCACATGAGCTGTGGATTTCTTCATCACATTCACAATCCTCCTTAGTTCAGCTGGATCATCGCCCTCGGGCAAAATCTCTAAGTAAGCCAGACAACCTCCACCAGATGGACTCAGATCAGTTTGAAAGGATCGGGCAGCGTGGAGTCCATAATCATTATCACTGATGAGCAGACCTGCCCAAGTCCAGCCAAAGTGTTTTAGAATCTGAATCATAGCACGCACCTAAGAATACAGAGAAGAGGGATTAGTGCACATGCTGGAATAATGTTTCACTGGAAATCCTGATAAACAGGTTCCACAATAGAATAGTTTAGTTACAGCCTTACAGTGTTTTTATGTGACAACACACAACTCCGTCAATGAGACAAATAATGTTACTGATGAAACAAAAGGAATATATTTGCAGTATAGGTATGGTCTTCCTGATCAATTGCAATAACTGCACAATCTTTATTTAGTATATTGTCACCATGCTTATAGATTTTTACCTGGAAAGCATCACTTGGGATCGTCCTAAAGAAGGATGGAAATTTTTGCCGGTCACTCAGGCAGGAACATGTAGAAAAATAACTCACCTGTGAAAAACACAGACTGTACGTCCTGAAACCATTCAATGCCTTCACCGGCTCTTTTAACTTTGTGAGGTTGACTGCTTCGTGTTTAAACCAACTTTAAATTTGACATGAAATCAAAATGATCCAAAAGAAATAATAGATGTCAAGGCAGAAAAACTTACCATAGGCACTCTGTACAAACCTAAGACAGTGGAGATTGCAATAGAACGTGTAGAGGAATCATCACCCACAATCCCGAGGACTGGAGGGGTTCCTACACAGGTCTCATGTAATGTAACTTGCTCTTCTAGACCACTGGCTAATGACAATGCTGCACGGAATCCAATTCCTAGTTTGTTGCAGTTATCATACAGACTGTATCCCAGAGTCACATTAGGTAGCAGGTGTGAGTTTCTGTTGATCTCATCAATAGCAAAAGCCATGGTCTGGGCCTGTTTGAATCCTAGAACATCAAACCTAACAAATAAAATATTACTGTTTTCTATTGAAAAATACAACATGATAACTAAATAACATATATATATATATATATGTTGTACAACTACAGATTTTGCAACAATGAAAACAGATGATGGCAACAACCACAAAAATAGAGGTGAATGAGCAAAAAAGACAATGTGGTCAAAATGTTATATATAAACAATGTAAATCTCTGTCAGTAATATGAAATTATCAAAAATATATTCTAATAAAGTTACTGATTTTCCGGGGGTTTCTGCTCTTTGTTGTTTACTTGGTAGACTCACCCATGGCAGGTAGGCTGTTGTGGCTCTGAGGTATAAGACAGTTCAGAATAGGTAGAGAAGAAGTTCATTTCAAATAGACCACCTAGAACCACATCTCCAGCCTTGTGCATTCCATTGAGATGAACCTGTCCCTGTAATCGACAAGAGGAGGAATAGAGGGGGGAGGGCACAGCAGGGGAAAAACAGGAATACAACAACATGAGCAAGTAGGTGTCTAACAATGTCCACATGACTTTCCTCTGGTTTATGTTTTTTCTGAGCCCAGTCATTAAGTTTTATCACTATGTCACCCCCTTTTATTGACTTGCAGTATTGTTTAATCTTTTACACCACCCATCACGACAGAAAAAGGAGTATGGGCAGGGCCTAAAATGCATTTCACTTGAGATAGAGTTGTATTGATGCAGAATTAATGCATGGACTTTTGATAAAATCTGACAGGTGTCAAGGCCATGTTATCAACCTTTCCAACCAAAAATTAATTTCTGAATGATTGACAATGATTGGGGTCCATGGCAAAATTTGCATGACAGGCATATTATGTATTAAATGTCATATCAAGTGGACTTTAAGCAGTTAAATGGATGATATGTATGTTAGGTTGTAGATAAAGCAGATAGATCTTTTCACCTTACAGGAAAACTACTCACCTCGGTATAAAATACAAGGTTCCCTCCGATCCGCTCTACAGTTTAATTCCTGAGATGATACATCTGAAGTTTCACTTTGTACTGAGTCTAATCTTAAATTTGTATGTGACATTCTAAATGCAAAAATCAGCCCAAAGTATCTGTAATTCACTATAACACAATAACAGAATTAAGGTAAATGTCCACTAGATGGTAGCAGCAATATACTTGCAAAAGACTTTTGATGAAATAGTACATCTTCTGATGTTTTTACATTGCACTGTTGTTGACAGCAGGTTCTATAGCGCATCAAGACTATCTCTACACTATACATGTCACATATGTATGAGAATTTACTCATCAGCCACAAGCCATGTACCAGCCATACCGCAACCCTATAAGGGACTCCTGCGGGTGTTTATCTTTGCTTATCTGATCTACACTGCGTGTTAGGTGCAGTTCATATGAGCTCTAGAAGATTGTGTTATTTCTGAGTGAGTATCCATTTGCCTGCCGCAAAGAGTGGGTGGAAGTCCTATGGGCCTCTACCTTCAACAGGCTGTAGTCCACACCAGTCTTAAATCCACCACCGTTGTCCCTGTGCCCAAAAAGACAGCACTTAAAAGTCTCATTGACTACCACCCACTTGCCCTACTTATTATTTAGTGCTTTGAGAGGCTTGTACTATCTCACATCAAGGCCATCACCCCCACTGATCTCCACAGCCATCAGTTTGCTTATCAAGCAAACGCATTTGTAGAAGACACAGTCTCAATTGCACTTCATAAAGCCCTCCCACCATGAAGCATCCAAACACATATGCCAGGATGCTATTTAGCTCCGCTTTCAATACAATAATCCCACCAAAATTTATAAACTCAACAACCTGGCATTATCCATGGCACTTTGCTTATGGATTACAGACTTCCTTGCCAACAGACCACAAAACGCCAGAATGGGCAACCACACATCCTTGATCCTCACCTTGAATACAGGTGCACCACAGGGCTTTGTGCTTAGCCCAGTCCTCTTCATTGTCTTCACCCATGACTGCACTCCCATCCCCTCCTCTAACACCATAGTGAAGTTTGCTGATAACACCACTATAGTGGGACTCCTATCCAACAATAAAGAGACACTCTACAGAAAGGAGGTCCAACATCTGGTGAAGTGGTGTGCAGAAAACAATTTGGCCCTAAACACCACAACAAACAAGGAGTTGATTGTGGACTTTAGGAGAACCAGGAAGACCACACCCTTGGGTTTGCACTGGGTTTGGTGGTTCATTGCCACCTGATCTCCACAGATGCATCCCTGGAGGGTTGGGGTATAACCTACAAAGTTTGGTGTGTGAGTAGCTGCTGGTCAGGCCCATGGTTGTGGCACCATCTCAATAGTCTATTGCTGAAGGCTGTCTGCCTGGCATTGAGGCAGTTTCTGCCCCACCTCCTGGGGCATGACATCCTGATACGAACTAACAACATGGTGTCTGCAGATTAAATCATCAGACAAGACAGTCTAAGCTCTCCCTGCCTAGGTCACACCACACACAAGCTGTGGACACTGGCCAGGTTTAAGTCCATGTGCTCTGTGGATATACAATACAGTGACAGATCAGCTATCCAGACTGAACCCTGGGGCGTGGAGGCTTCACTCCAGTGTGGTGGCAGAGATTTGTAGTTGCTTCAGATTTTTTGAAGCACACCCTTTTGCCTCCAAAGACAATACCAACTCCCTTTTGCTTGTTACCCTGGGGAGAGATGATCCTCCTCTCAGGGTAGATGCACTGGCATATCTCTGCTCTCCTGGTCAGCTAGATGTTTTCCCCCTTTCAGCCTTTTTCCACCGTTCTTGCAGAGAATGAGGACAGAGAACGAGTAATTCTGGTGGCACCAAACTGGCCACAAAAATATATTGTTTTGATATTAAGAGGTCCAAAAGTTAATAGTGCTTATATAATCCTCTAGAGTGAATTCCAGCCAAGGATAACTTGAATAGTTCCTGCTACTGCTCCCTCTGCAGTTTGTCATATCTGGTGAATGTAGCTTCCTCTGTTATAGTCCTTTCTAAGTATCAGTAACAGTGTTAGGAGTAATACTTTTGTATCACTGAGGGATGGAAAGATGCATACTGAAGACAAATACAACACGAGTATAGCCTATAAGATGTTTAAGTTCATCACTACTAGCAAGACATTCACGAGCAAATTGTTCAAACAGTTAGTAACAAAATAGTAATAATACAGTGATAAAATATACAATAATAAAAGTCAGTTATTAACACTTCTTTATTACCTTTAGTTTCATGTGGTGATAATAACTGTTGATTGCAAAATACAGAGGATCATAATTTCTGATAGATTTATTCTTAGCGCTAATTTTATGACTTCCTTTTTTCTCGACCCATAATAGCTTTCTTTGTATTTTTCTCTGGTCTCAGGAGTATAATGTAACATTTGGGTCCAAACAGCGCCACCAAGAGGCCAAAACTGGAGGCCAGGATGGCAAATACCTCCACTGCATCTGCATACTTTCCCGGAGAATTGACATAAGCAGGGACAAAGGCCACCCACACAGCACAGAAGATCAGCATGCTGAAAGTGATGAATTTTGCCTCATTGAAGTTGTCTGGAAGATTCCTTGCTAGAAAAGCTAACAGGAAGCTGAGGATAGCAAGGAAGCCAATATAACCAAGTAACACTGCAAAACCAACTGTGGACCCGACAACACACTCATAAACTATCTTGTCATTGTGGTATTCAGTGTTTTTATGAGGAGCTGTTGAGGCAGAGACAAGCCAGGCAGTACAGATTACTGCTTGAATGCATGTAAGCGCCAGAACTGTCCCTCTCTGCTGCACAGCACCAAACCACTTCAGACTGGCTCCACCTCCTGGCTTGGAGGCCTTGAACACAGCCAGAACCACCATGGTTTTAACCAGGATGCATGAAACACAAAGCACAAAGCTGATCCCAAATGCTGCATGTCTCAGCTGGCATGTCCACAGTCTGGGACGACCGATAAAAAGCAGTGAACACAGGAAACATAGTTTAAGAGACACCAAGAGCAGGAAACTGAGTTCTGAATTGTTGGCACGCACCATGGGTGTGCTGCGATGATAGATGAAGATGCCCAGAACAACAGCACAGATAAATGTGCCCAGCAATGAAGTTGTTGTCAAACAAATTCCCAGAGGCTCATGGTAGGAGAGGAACTCTGTTTTCTTAGGAACACAGTGGTCACGCTGGGGGTTGGACCAGAAATCCTCTGGACAACTGGTGCACTTCATGGAGTCTGAAAAACAGGAGAAGATGGTGAGATACATACTTACTGTATATGATATCCTTAAAATAAAGTAAAAACATTGAAACATGAGCACCCACCAGTACTATTGCTGATCTTTCCATCAGAACAAGGGATGCAGTCAAAACAACATTCAGGTTCCCCCTTCTTTCTGGCCATGCGGGTACCAGGAGGACAGCTCTCACTGCAAACTGACTGGGGGGGCTGTACAGAGAAAAATATATTGATCTATATCATTACATTCAGCTAAAATCTACAGTCCAAAAAAGGAGAGAAAAATCAAAAGTAACCTCTTTTGATTCAGAGTTCCAGAAGATTTTATCTTCATCAAGTGTGAGTTCTTCATCTTTGAAGGCTAATTTCTTAACTTCACCCACATTCTGAACTTTAGTTCGTCCATCAGGGAGCCACAGCCAGTTCATGATATCATAGATTGGAGAGGCATCACCATTCTCATCAAATGACACTTGATCACCAAATGCTGTGGTGAAGTTGACCTTTTGCAAATAATGTACAAGCTACATAAGGATGATAGAAACAAAACAAACAACATCAAGAAGAAAAATGTATAATAAGTGTGAAAGTCATAACTGAAATATGAAATCACATTTTGTCCAGCTATGTCTAGTATTAAATACAGTATATTTCACTAGAAAAATAATTAAATTAATAGCCAGTGGATGAATGTAACATGTCTTTTTCATGATGTTCTATACTCACAAAACCATATTTAGTACCTCATGATGTGGTAGCTGTTTTGAATACATAAACACGTGGAGTGTAAATTTATATCTCACCTGCCATGGCTCCAGTGTTTTCAATGTAGCACAGCTGTGCCCGCTGAAAGGCCCTCTCCCTGGCTCACACTTAAGTATGTTATCAAGGGCATACGCCAGGGCATACACAGCCTTATAAACATTGTACTCTGGCCTGAGGTTAGAAAGATCCAAAAACTCAGTCTCAACATTTCCAATATCTTCATCTCCAGTGCATAATGCTCCTCCAGCTTCTATCCAACCTGCTGGAGGTGGAGCAAATCTACACTGAAATGTGTATTCCCAAAACTGCCTCACCTGAAATATATTAAAGTATTAACATAGGTATTAACATTAGTATCAACATATTCACATTGACATTATAGTATATTGTTATTGCATATTTACATCAGATAGTGTCATTAAACCCTTACCATACTATTTCCATAGCTATTATTGTGGTGTAGGTCAGGACGTATTTGTAACAGAAATGCCCTGAGTCCTGGTATTTCTCCTCGACGGATGGCAATGCCCAGTGTCCCACTCAGGTACGGCATGAATCGGGGGGTCTGGAGCACAGCAGCAGATGTCCAGGCTTCACTTGCAATCCACTGCAGGCCTGTCACATCCTGCCGCACCACCTATGCATTATATAAATTATATTTTTCAGACTTTTGTTAAAACAGTGCAATGTACTTTGTAGAAAATATTGTCTACCAAGATTTCATTGTTTGACTGTCATAAAAACAACAAACAAATGTTAGCCAAATATGAAGTGCAATACGCTCAGTTCAAACAAGCTTCAGTTTTTAGTAAGCTTCACTGTATAACATAACCAATTAAATCCAATTATTAGAATAATTTAATATCTTTTTAATTGTCCTGACTGGTCCATTCATGCTTGTACATTGGTGTAACCAACAAATGTATTGAAATATTTAAAGAATTATCAAAAAGTTGAAACATTTGACACACTCTATACAGTCAACATTATCAGCTGGATTTGATTAGTTTAAGATTCAGTTTACACCAACAAACAAAGAAAAAAAAAATCAATATTATCATGGATTTCTGAAATTATATCATATTTGAATTCCAACCTCTTCCATTAGTTGAATCATGTGTATCTCGTGTGCAAACACAATGACAACCCGTGCTGTTGATGTCTTTATCAAATATACAATCCTCTTGAGTTCACTTGGGTCACTGTCCCAGGGCAACACCTCTAGGTAGGCCAGACAACCTCCACCAGACTGAGCCAGGTCAGACTGCAAGGACTGGGCAACATGGAGTCCATAATCATCATCACTGACCAGCAGACCTACCCATGTCCAGCCAAAGTGTTTTAGAATCTGAATCATAGCACGCACCTGTATGGATATGTGATAGTGGAGAGATTGGAAGACAGATTAGTAAATTCTTTTAAGATTACATATTATATGGGGAACCATGTGTCACAGAAATAGTAATAAAGCATTTCATGAATTAATAACTGATATTGTACGATAACATTAATAAATGTCCTTACAAATTAAACTTTTAATCTACAACTAAGTAGTAGTATAAGTATAAAAATAATTTACAAATCGAATATTAATCCACCAATAAATAGTCGAAATTAAGAAGGGGTTTACAATAATAACATAAAACAGTCAATAAATATATACTTAAAAAAATAAATTTATTCATAAATAAATGATGGAATTTAAAATCTATTTGAAAATGCATTTTAAAATGAGAAATCATGAACTGGATTTATAAATTGAATCATGAATACAGATTCTAATCAGACATTTAAAAGGACAATTTCCTTTCCAATTTACATTCCAATTTTCCCTATTACCTATTCAATTTGTTTAGTTATTTCACTTCTCCTTTTAGCCTCTCCATGACAGATTTTGCTTTGCACGGGTGAAATTGGGTAAAACAATACAAATTCAGGCTGTAACAAGCTCTCTGACTGGCCATCACTTGTCAAGCCATCTACAGACATATGACATGGATGTGGGAAGGGAACAATCAAGGTGGGTGCCAAAGTTGAGGGTGTACTACTGGTGCAACACTGGCAATGTCACTTAAAATTCTTGATATATCAGTGTTGGACATTTTGATGAAGTGAAAGTGAAGTAAAATGTCCTGGTGCAAACACATACACTTCCTCAAAGGGTCTTGGTGCCTACATGAAAAGATAGCAAGGGTATGAGGCAGGTGTGGCTCTCTAACCAGTCAGATAGCTTGTTACATAGCATGGCTAATTTGTATTGTTTTACCTTGTTTTACCAGCACAAGGCCCAAAGTGTTTTGTAAACCCCCTCTGAATTTGAACTATTTACTGCTTAATATTTCATTTGTAACTTCTTTACATAATGCTCATTAAAATATCAAAACATGAATTACTTTGTAATTTAAACTATATAGATTAATACATTTCTTTGCAAATTAATTCATTAGAGTATTATTATTGCACAATTAGTTTTTAATTACTTAAATGCTTATAACTATTTCTTTGACACTCTTGTACTGCCATAATATATGTCTTACTTCAGTTATTGTAATTTGTATAAATTGTATTACTTATTTAAGTTTCACAATGGAATTACAGTTAATTACTTCCATTACAGTTCAGACATTTTCTTTCATTAGGGGCATTTTTCACCAGCTTGCTGAACTGCTTGTGAAAAACATTTTGAAGTGCTTAATTTTGCAAATGGTGTTTCACCTGAAAAGCATCACTTGGAATTGTTCTAAAGAAAGATGGAAACCTTTGCCGATCGCTCAGGCAGGAACATGTGGCAAAATAACTCACCTATAAAGAAAAATACAGAATGCATTTAAGTCACTCATTTCATACTCGTCAGCCCCAGTCAAAATATTTTCATATGACAAAATGATATCACTTTTAAAGACTAAATTAATTCAAATGCTGTACATTAAAAATACAACAATTCAAAACATAGAGGATAGGAAACTTACAGTTGGTATTTTGTATAAACCTAGCACATTGGAAATGGCGATTGAGAATGTTGAATAGTGATCACCCACAATCCCCAGAACTGGGGGGGTCCCCAAACAATTGTCCTGAAGCAGAAACTGGTCTACTTGACCACTGGCCAATGATAGTGCACCACTGAATCCAATAATAAGTGCACCACAGTTATCATAAAGACTGTATCCAAGAGTCAAATTAGGGAGCAGGTTGGAGTTCTTGTTGATCTCATCAATAGCAAAGGCCATGGTCATGGCATGTCTGAACCCTAGAATATCAAAGCTAACATACAAGATATCACTGTTAATCACTAGGAAGTAATTTATCATTGTGAGAACTGTGAGATACATATACAGAAATGGGCCTATGTTAATAACATTTTACACAGTCAAATTATATTCTTTTTAGAGCTCTCTTTTAATATTTTAAAAGTATCACAGTATTACTGAATTTTACATTGCTCACATTTCATAAGCATTTCAGCACAGTGACATTTTCTTCCCAGCCTAAATACTATCAGCAGAAAGCATAATTTCCACATGCTCATACTGTCTGTTGCATGTATGTGAAACTTACCCTTTACAGCTGGGCTGTTGTGGCTCTGAGGTAAATGTCCACTCAGGGAAGACAGAGGTGTAGTGGACCTCAAACAGCCCACCCAGAACCACATCGCCAGGTTTGTGCATTCCATTCAGATGAAACTTTCTCCATAATTTACAAGATGAGGGAGGAGAGGAAGACACAGAGCATAAAGAGGGAGAACAGCAAAGAACCAATGTAAGGTAGACACACAAGAGCAAATAGGAGTCCAGAAAACCCCCCATAACTTCTCTCCTCCTTCACACCTTTTTCTATTCTTCACGCGAGGGTTCTTGGTTTTATGTGCAGGACTATGCCACCCCTTTGCATGCTTTCTGTCATTGTTAAATCTTTCCACCCATCAGGGCATGCTCTATGAGGGCAAGACACAACACACACATCAACAATTATGTTTGTATAACATATAAGAAAATAATATAAATGTTTTGCCATATCAGCAAGTGTTTAAGCAAATATAAGCCTTGAACCAAAACATATATTTAACAAATTTTTATGTTTATCTTTTGTAGTCTTTTGTTGTTTCCTATTAGAAAATTAAAGCCCATCTTTTTGATTATTTATTTTTCTTGATATGACACATCCCATGATTTAAATATGTCAGGACTGGTATAATTCTGCCAATAGAGCATTTTCTGTAACTATGGTATGGTACAGTGTAGCTATGATGAACTCAGACAAATTGCATAATTTCAAGAGACACTTTACTATTTGGAAATTTTGAAGAATAGTTGTGGCTGACATATACCTTTGGCACCTACTGGACAGCATGCTTACTCAATTTGTTAATCCAGACCAAATTGGCTTTAGGAATCAAAGGTTATTGACTTACGAGACCCTTAAAACCACCAACCTATATATATATATATATATATATGTATTCTTTTTTTTTTCAAATATTTGATAGTATTGTGTAAAGATAATTATTTCAAATGCTTACCAACTTTTATATGATTTTATTAGGTACTTCAGAGTACACCAAAAGTGAAGCTCGTTGTAAGTGGGACATCCTCAAAGATTTTCTGCACGGAGAGAAAAACCTGCCAAGCCTGTCCCATCTCTCTGTTACTATATGTTCATATAGAAGTGCCACTTTCAGAAGCTGGAACTCACAATATTACTACCGATCTGCAGTCAAATATTCCAAAACCTGCATGAAATGCAGATGATATGTTGCTGTTTCTCAAAAAACCAAAATGTCTTATGAGTTATCACAAAGATGGTGCAATGTTAAGTTGATTTTTTCAGGTGGTAATGTAAGTGCAACTTGAAAAATGAAGCTACTTTGTATATTATGGTGATTAAAACTGTCCTCCAAATCCAATTCAAATAAATATTTTTGGTTAAAGCATGGACTGTTCTGTTGCTGCCTGCGGCTGTTTCTCTTACTTTGGAGAATTTGTCAGGAATCATTTTGAAGAACTAAAACAGTCACATAAATAGTCAGGTGGGAACTTAGGAAAAGGCCTTTAAATGTGTTAAATCTATATTATATATATTATAATATTGGCAATAATAAAGAATCTGTTTTGTCCAAACATTTCTTTATTTCTTGCAGTTTCATCTAAGTTTATTCTTTAGAGTGAAAAAAGTCAGAAAGTATAAAGAAATATACTCACTTTTTATACAATGATCATTTCAAGGGCAGATCACAAATGAATTAATGCAAAATATACAAGTTCAGACCAGTTCATCATTTTACTGCATCTTGTGCTTTTATGACTTAGTAGTTCCTCGACCCATAATAGCTTTCTTTGTGTTTCTCTCTGGTCTCAGCAGGATTATGTAACATTTGGGTCCAAACAGCGCCACCAAGAGGCCAAAACTAGAGGCCAGGATGGCAAATACCTCCACTGCATCTGCATATTTTCCTGGGGAGTTGACATAAGCAGGGACAAAGGCCACCCACACAGCACAGAAGATCAGCATGCTGAAAGTGATGAATTTGGCCTCATTGAAGTTGTCTGGAAGATTTCTTGCCAGAAAAGCTAACAGGAAGCTAAGTATAGCCAGTAAACCAATATAACCAAGTAACACTGCAAAACCGATCGTAGAGCCAACTACACACTCATAAACTATCTTGTCATTGTGGTATTGGGTGTTTTTATGAGGTGCTGGTGAGGCAGAGACAATCCAACAAGTGCAGATTGCTGCCTGAATGCATGTCAGCACCAAAACCGTCCCTCTCTGCTGCACAGCACCAAACCACTTCAGACTGGCTCCACCTCCTGGCTTGGAGGCCTTGAACACAGCCAGAACCACCATGGTTTTAACCAGGATGCATGAGACACAAAGCACAAAGCTGATGCCAAATGCTGCATGTCTCAGCTGGCATGTCCACAGTCTGGGTCGTCCAATGAACAGCAGTGAGCACAGGAAACATAGTTTAAGTGACACCAAGAGCAGGAAACTGAGTTCTGAATTGTTGGCACGCACCATGGGTGTGCTGCGATGATAGATGAAGATGCCCAGAACAACAGCACAGATAAATGTGCCCAGCAATGAAGTTGTTGTCAAACAAATTCCCAGAGGCTCATGGTAGGAGAGGAACTCTGTTTTCTTAGGAACACAGTGGTCACGCTGGGGGTTGGACCAGAAATCCTCTGGACAACTGATGCACTTCATGGAGTCTGAAAAACAGAAGAAGATGGTGAAATACATTCCTGCTATGAAGTATATAAAATCCCCTGAGTAAACTAAAAATATTAAAACATGAACACTCACCACTTTTATTGCTGATCTTTCCCTCAGAACAAGGGATGCAGTCAAAACAGCACACAGGTTCCCCCTTCTTTCTGGCCATGCGGGTACCAGGAGGACAGCTCTCACTGCACACTGACCGGGGGGGCTGTAGGGAGAAAAATAAATATGTCATTATGTGTTGTTTTACATCGGTCACAATTACAGTCCAAAAAACAGAGGTGTCCGGAAAAATTAGAAGTAACCTCTTTTGATTCAAAGTTCCAGAAGATTTTATCTTCATCAAGTGTGAGTTCTTCACCTTTGAAGGCAGATTTTTTAACCTCTCCCACATTCTGAACTGTAATTCTTCCATCAGGGAGCCACTGCCAGTTCATGATATCATAGATTGGAGAGGCATCACCATTCTCATCAAATGACACTTGATCACCAAATGATGTGGTGAAGTTGACCATTTGCAAATAATGTACAAGCTACACATGGATGACAGAAATAAAAGGCAGTAAGGCAGGTGACAGACTCCTTTCAAACAGAAGTTTGTCCCACTTTGTACCAAAATCATAGCACTTTCATCTTTCTAAATTTATTTTTTTGTTGTTGTTTTAAGTATTGAGACACCCTGAAATTCAGGTTGTTGTTTTGTCTGACTGGTTTAATGATCTGATTCTCAGTCATCACTGTCAGAAAACAAAATTGGAACGTGTTAATTCTGCTACTTTTAGTATTAAATATTATATAATAAACATTTCACATTTGAGAGAAAAATAATTGAATGAATAGCTAGTGTGTCAATACCATTATTACATAATGTGTATTTTACTAACCTAAACTCACAAAATGTATTCAGTATATTCAGTTAAGTACTCCAAAGAAGTGGAGTGTAAATTTATATCTCACCTGCCATGGCTCCAGTGTTTGCAAAGAAGCACAGCTGTTCCCGTTGAAAGGCCCTCTCCCTGGCTCACACTTAAGTATGTTATCAAGGGCATACGCCAGGGCATACGCAGCTTTGTAAACATTGTACTCTGGCCTGAGGTTGGAAAGATCCATGAACTCAGTCTCCACATTCTCTAGATTTTCATCTCCAGTGCATAATGCTCCTCCAGCTTCTATCCAACCTGGTGGAGGTGGTGCAAATCTACACTGAAATGTGTATTCCCAAAACTGCCTCACCTGAAATGCATTAAAAACTCATTGTTAAAAAGAAATTACAGTGTAATTTTTATCATTATTATTATTACTTATTTTAGATCTAATTGAAAGATTCAACTCTTACGATGTTATTTCCATAGCTGTCGCTGTCATATTGGTCGGGATGTATTTGTAAGAGGAATTCCCTGATGCCTGGTATTTCTCCTCGACGGATGGCAATGCCCAGTGTCCCGCTCAGGTACGGCATGAGACGGGGGGTCTGGAGCACAGCAGCTGCTGTCCACGCTTCACTTGCAATCCACTGCAGGCCTGTCACATCCTGCCGCACCACCTGAGCATTGTATTATATGAAATATATTTTTCAGACTTCTGTAGTACACTTCACTGTTTTGTTGGAAATATTAATTTGTCCACCACAATTTCAATTTTGAAGCGAGTCAAAGAAGCAACACAGTTTTTTTCATGCATCATGGTGGGTTGAACTTTCTCAAAGTGCAAAACAGTATGTCACAACAAATTTCAATTTGTTGTAAGGTAACTGGTGCTTTTGTGCTTGCACCCAAAAATGTATTGAAATAGTTCAAGCAATGTTTTCATCCAGCTGAAACTTCAGGTAACATTACCAGACATTTTCAAACATTTTGACCTGATGAAGATTCAACTGGATCTGAAATTTGCTGTTGTAGAAAACTGTGTTTGACACTGATTATAAATTAGAGGATTCTGGTTGGCGAATGTTGACTCAGACAAACAAATAAAGAAACAAACAAATTAAGTCATCATGTTACATTTCTTAAAATCATACATCAATGTATTTTATAAATTATAGGCTATTTGAATTCCAACCTCTTCCATTAGTTGAATCATGTGCATCTCATGTGCAAAAACCATGACTACACGAGCTGTTGATGTCTTTATCAAATATACAATCCTCTTGAGTTCACTTGGGTCACTGTCCCAGGGCAACACCTCTAGGTAGGCCAGACAACCTCCACCAGACTGAGCCAGGTCAGACTGCAAGGACTGGGCAACATGGAGTCCATAATCATCATCACTGACCAGCAGACCTACCCATGTCCAGCCAAAGTGTTTTAGGATCTGAATCATAGCACGCACCTACAGTATGTGGATACAATGGTGAGAAGAGTTAAGTGCACACACTAATATATTCTTTTAAAATTAAATCTCACTCAAACTTCAATTAATGTAACTTGTATAAGTGATATTACATATAGAC